CTAGTGACTCACGATGTTGGCAGCCCGCACGTGCATCTCGTAATTGTCCTGTTCACCCTGAGTGGCCCTCGACACCTGTGTCTCTTCCTCAATCTGGGGGCAAACAAGAAGCCTAGAATTGCCCAGCTGCTCCTGGCCCACAGCAGCCAGCCCCTCCTCGCTCTGCCCTAGCCTTGTTTGCCTTGCAGAAGTCAGTGCTCTGCTGACTAGGCTCTGGTGGCGTGGTAGCTGGGGGTGCTGGACCCCCACATGAGACTAGGACCTGACGGCTTGCTTCTTACTTTCCTTCTCTCACTTAATTTAAATTTGACCAGAGAGGGACAGAGAGAGAGAGAAAGAAAGTGAGAAAGCAAGCCGCCAGGTCTGGGACTCGTACAGTGACCGGCCATGTGGGAGTCCAGCGCCCTTAACCACCACGCCACTGGCTGGTCCCAGGCCCACCCTGTTGTCCTGCCCTGCAGCTCTGTAGGTGGTGGTGAACTCTGAGCCCGGCCAAGTGGACGACGATGCTGAAAGCTGCTTTACCACGGACTTGTGATTGTTTGGTTTATGCCGACCTGTCGCGATTATGGGTATCCACACCCCAAATGTTTTCTCCAAAGGGACAACGACCGGTCTACCCTGTTCCCTGCGGGGCCCTGCCCTCATGTACAGTGGGCACCACTGACCCGGCCACAGTGGCCCCCGAAGGCCCGTCCAGGCCAGCCCACCTTGGCAGTCTTGATGATCTCGGTGAAGTTGTCCATGACAGACTTGATGTCATCCTTGAGCCGCTTGTTGTAGGACTGCAGCAGCGTCTCCTTGCTCTGGGGCAGGGCTCTCTGCTGGGCCATGTGGGGCCTCAGGCTGCAGGGGCTGGAGGCCTGTGACAGAGTCCACAGCCACCCCTGACTTAGCCGAACATGCACATTTCTGGAGTTCGGGCACTCAACGAAACAACTTATTCAATCGGGGCCCTGCAGTGGGCCAGGAGTGAGCGGGCGGAGGGAGGGTGGCCGGCCCTGGGCCCACCCCTTTCTCCACGCAAGCTCATTCTTCTAACCCTGACCACAGCGGCTGGGACTCCAGCCCAGACCCAGGCCATCAAGCTCACAGCCTGCTCCCCTCCCTGGTCGCAGAGACCTGCCACCATCCTTGCCTGCCTCCCCTCTGCATCCCTGTGAACCCACCGTGCCACGTCCCTGCTCCACTGCACTCCCTTCCTCGTCTCCCAGCAGTAAAAGAAGTCCTCATGCCACTCTGTGTCCTTTTTTTTTTTTTTTTGGAAAAGTTTTTTGGCTTTTAGGGCACATGCACTTGCCAGACAGAGACAGAGAGACAGAAAGTGAGAAATCACCCCCCAGGGGGGATGGCCACACCGCAATCCCTTCTCCTCCCTTCTCTCAGGCTCTTGGGCACACACGCACTCGCGCCTGGAGTGAGTTTAAGCAACCAGTCCGGGACTAGAACCGCGGTCGACTACGTGGGAGTCCAGCGACATAGTCATTACATTAACTGCTGGTCCCCCACTCTTGTGTCCTTCTACGAGCTCGCCCGCTGCCGGGATAGGGATCATGCTCTGCGCACCCCGCCAGGCCTGGCCCCAGCTCCTCCAGCGCCCCACGCTCCAGCCACACTGACCGCCCCCAGTGCTGCGCCCGCCTTTCTCTCGGGCCAGGCCTCTGCGCAAGAGAACGAAAGGGCTGGAGTACCCGCGGCCTGTTGGGGGTCTCCTTGCTGTGACCAGGCGGCTCCGGGAGGGCGGCCAGGTGACCCCGCCGGCTGGAGGCCTGGTGCAAGGCTGGGACAATGAATGAACGAACCAACCAATTCGGTTTCTGCGTGCCTGTTTTTTTAGAGAGGAAAGTCAACCCACCCCGGGGCCCGCGCCTACCAGTGCCTCTCCCCCAGTCACGCGGCCTCTCGGTTCCCGAACTTTCTGTGCCGCGTCGCCTTCAGCGGACCCAGCTAGCCCGGGACACTCTAAGCACTCTTCAGATTTTATTATGATAGTTAAAGAAGTCCTGTCGCTTTAAATCTGAAATCCCGCGCAGGAGCCAGTTCTCGCGATCCCAGGGGCCGCATACATATTACCCACAATTCCATTTCCTTTCTCTCTCCTCCAGTATCCCAAGATGGTGAGTCTGCTTTCCGCGGTACCTGAACAGCGGTCCGGCTGCATCCGCTGCCATCCTGCTCTGGGCGCTGCCGCTCGGGGCTCTCTGTTCGCCTCGGCGCTGCGAGGGCCCTCCTGGGCCTGGCAGGGAGGCATTGGTTTTGCGGGGGCAGAAACTGGCGGCCGAGAGCGGGTGCGCTACCCCCTGTGCCGCCAGGGCAGAGGAGCAGGACCGGGGAGAGCTGCGCCGCAGTGCAGGGCTCGCAGTGGGCCGCGGCGAGGCGTTTGCGCGCCGCGGCGGCTCCCGGGAGCCGCGCCGCAGGCCTCGGCACAGGGGGCCTAAGTTTTTCCTCCTTGCCGCCGGAGCTTGTGGGCCCCGACCGCCGCCTGGACGTCGGAGGGGGTGCGCGGCCTCGGTCCCCAGCGGCCCCGGTCCCCGGCCCGGAGCTGGCTGCGCGTCCGTCCGCGCAGGTGGCGTGAGGACGTCCCCCGCCGTCGAGGTCGCCGATGTTCGGCCTGGGCTTCGCTCGCGCGCCTTCTTCGGGCAGGGCAGCTACCCTGGCGCCGGGAGCAGGACGCGGGGTCTAACGCGTTTTCCTTTTTGCCCAGCCAAAGGGAAAGAAGGCCAAGGGCAAGAAGGTGGCTCCGGCCCCTGCCGTGGTGAAGAAGCAGGAGGCTAAGAAGGTGGTCAATCCCCTGTTTGAGAAAAGGCCTAAGAATTTTGGCATAGGTGAGTGAGCGCTGGACTGACGGCTCCCCCCACGCCTCGCCAGGAAAAATTACAGAGTCTAGCCATTGCTAGGTCTCAGGGATATCCTCAAGGCACTGTGGGTGGGAGTCTTTCTGTCGGGTTGTGGTGTAAACTGGACCCTGCTCAGACCCACTGCTTCGCAATAAGTTACTGAGTCTCTGCTTCCACCCCTCGGGGTGCTCCCTTGGGACGTTGCTGGTCCTCGAACCCCAGCTCTCAGCTGGGCACCGTGACTGCCGCGTTCGGGGCGACGTCCTGGTGCAGAGGCCAGCGCTGGGGTGGGGTGGGGACTCCCGTGCTGGCGGTTGTGTGCAGATGATGTGAGAGAATATTTGCTATCTGAACGATGGTGATGACATTCTAGACCACCAAGATCTCTGATGCACCAGCACCCCTCTCAGTGGGTCCACACATGAATTTGGGTCACGTGGTTAAGCCTCACTTGGTGTCATCACCACTTCTCAGGACAGGACATCCAGCCCAAGAGGGACCTCACCCGCTTTGTCAAATGGCCTCGCTACATCCGGCTGCAGCGGCAGAGGGCCATCCTCTACAAGCGGCTGAAAGTGCCTCCTGCCATTAACCAGTTCACCCAGGCCCTGGACCGCCAGACAGGTGAGGGTTTGGCAGGTGCCGTTAATGTTTGTGCTAGCTCTGAAGGCCCCGGGGGCGGGGGCTGGTTCGTTGAAATATGGGCTGTTAGTTTCCGAAAACAAGGGTGCTCTAAATGAAGAGATGGCCTAGTGGCTTTACATTGTCATTGTCACATCACACCATGGTGGTTACACCAAGGAGTTTGTGTTACACCAAGTGCCAAGATTAACACGTAAACTGCAATTTTAAACCAAAGAATGTTTTCCTAGCTACTCAGCTGCTCAAGCTGGCCCACAAGTATAGGCCAGAGACGAAGCAGGAGAAGAAGCAGCGGCTGCTGGCCCGGGCTGAGAAGAAGGCCGCCGGCAAAGGGGATGTCCCCACTAAGAGGCCACCAGTCCTCCAGCCAGGTGAGTGGGCAGCTCCTCTGGGGGAGGGGCAGTGGTGGCATGGGCTGTTGCGATGATGCATGAATTTCTTCACCTGAAACCAGTGAAGAGTAAAAATCCGAGCTTTTTAACACTGAGTCACAGCTGGCCCATGGTCACAACTGTTGCCCATGGCCAGAGCTGCCCAGCACTCAGGCAAGTGGTCATTTGTGTGTCTAGGGGTGAACACTGTCACCACCTTGGTGGAAAACAAGAAGGCTCAGCTGGTGGTGATCGCACACGACGTGGACCCGATCGAGGTAGGTGGACCCTACTGTGCACTGGCTGCCGAGTCTGGGATCTCAGGTTGGTTCTGGGAGGTAGAAGAGGCTTGCTACTGGGTCTGAAGAGTACCAGGCCAGAGTGGGCAACCAGGACAGCTCCCTGTAGTTTGAGGAGAGTGCAGACAGGTCCAGCTCACGAGTGGCTCTTGCGATGATGTGACTTTTCCACTGAAGTGACCTTGAAGTGCAGATCCATGAGCTTTTTAACCCTGAGCAGTTGCCACTAAGCTAGCTTTTGAGCTCTTGCTTTGGATCAGGATATGTTCCTGATCCAGTGAATGCTCTCTTCCAGCTGGTTGTCTTCCTACCTGCCCTGTGTCGGAAGATGGGGGTTCCCTACTGCATTATCAAGGGGAAGGCCAGGTTGGGACGCCTGGTCCACAGAAAAACCTGTACCACTGTCGCCTTCACACAGGTTAACTCGTGAGTATGCGCCCTTGCCCCAGATCCCCCAGGACCAGCAGGGGGTTGGCTCCCTGGTCCACCCACTGCATCTCTGGATTTGTGACCCTGCAGAGCAGAGTTTGAACCTTCGCCAATGATGGTTAAGAATTTCTTCACCTGAATAAATCATGTGGTCATACCATATCTGAGGCAAAAAGGCTGTGGTTAGAGCTAACTAAGGGGGCCATGCATCTAGGCAAGAAGCCTGAAGCCTGCCTTTCCCTCCTCCTTGTTAGGGAGGACAAAGGTGCACTGGCTAAGCTGGTGGAAGCCATCAGGACCAATTACAATGACAGATACGATGAGGTAAGGAGCAGCTGTACACTGGCGGTGTCTGGGGTGGATGGGTACCAGTGTTAACCAGCATGCTTGGAAAGCCAGAAAACCTGCCAGCTGTGCTGATGGTGCCCCTCTTTTCATTTCAGATCCGCCCACTGGGGAGGAAACATCCTGGGCCCGGAATCTGTGGTTGGCATCGCTAAGCTGGAAAAGGCAAAGGCTAAAGAGCTTGCCACCAAACTGGGTTAAGTGTATGCTATTGAGTTTTCTGTACATACAAGTAATAAAACGCTCTCCTTCGGCTAATGTCTGTAATATCTTCAGACCAGGGACCTGTTGCTAATAAGGCTGCATTGTGGTCAGGCGTGCTGTGTAACGTGTGGGTTGGTTCCATTTATTTTTCCATGACAAAGAGGCAGGCACGGGCACCCCCACTGTTCCTCACGCCACCTGGATCACCTGTTCCTCTGTCCAGCAAGTTTAGGGGGTGCTGACGTAGCCCATGACCTCCTCCTATAGGCCTTGTCCTCTCTGGAACTGCTGCCCTGCAGGTGTTATTAAAAGCTTTAAACTTGAAGACATGCCTGGCTCAAGAGGCACTGTGGAAACACAAACTGGAAGCTACTACTCACTTTAAGCTATATGTTTTATTTATCTGGATTCTTTGATTTTTGCTGTGTGGCATGAGTTCATCAGAGATGGCAATAAATCGCTCCTGTAGGGATGACCATGATGCTGTCCTCCATCCTCTTAGGACTTGGGCAGCTGCTGAGTTCAGGACACTAACCATCAGCCATGTGGGAGTCCAATGCCTCGGGCAACCACTAAGCCACCTACCAGCCTCAGGAGTTTAAACCAGTTCATGATCTAGTGTGAGACCACTTGTCTGGTGACTGACTGCTCAAGGACAGCACTGTCCACTGATGTCATGCAGCAGGTGTCCTACGCAGGAACTTCTTGAACCACAGGTATGACGTGGCTGCACAGAGTCCATACCTGGAGTGCAAAGGAAGGTGAGCAGTTAGGCTGGTCAGCATTCTGAAGGGGACAGACTGGGGACCTGGCCTCACCAAGTGATGATGTACTGCATATGCTCATTCCTCAGGGTGACTCTGGTCTGTCCTCCAACGGGCCCTCCAGGGACAGTGCTCTCTGCAGGCCAAGCAGAGTTGGAGCTGCTGAGTGGCCATCTACCCCTCAGCACTAGAATGGATGGCACAAAGTAACTGGGAAGAAGGCAGGGTTGGGAAGGAGGCTGAAGGGCATGGAAGGTTCAGGACTTACTGAAGTCTGCATCGATGAAAATGGGGTCTGTGCCTGTGATCCTGGCCATGGCCTCTAGGTCCCGGTAGTGCCAGCGGTTCCTTTCTGCATCGTTCTCAGGGACAAAGGGCTTCCTGGTTTCTGTAAGCCGGACCATCCCAACCAGGTCCACTTCTCCCTCAATCTATAAAGGATGGTCAGGTTGCTCAGCAGGAGGGCTTGGAAGCTCATCCGAGCCTGCCTCAAGCAGAATTCAAGCCCCTTACCTGGCCTTTCTGCCGGGTATCAGGATTCACCTTCTTCCTGGGGACAAACCCTCTATTTACCAGGATGGTGGTCCTAGAGTCATGAAATCATACCAGTTGAGAGGGCCTGAATAACAATTACCACAAATGGCTGATACTCTGTAGAAGCAACTATGCAGGACTGGGTGGGAACCAGTGAATGGGGAGTTAATGGTTATATTACTGGATGCCCACAGTTCAGGTCCTGGGCCTGGTGGCTTGAAAACCTCTGGGCGTGTGTGCACCTGTGCCCAACATACCAAGAGAAAGAAAGGATTGTAGCATAGCTGTCCCCTGGGGGGGTGGGGTTTGACCTCACTTTGTTCTTCCCTGAACCGGGACTGCGTCAGTGGACACTAGCCCACAGATTGTTGAAAGCCCTCCCACCTGGCTCCCAAGGTTTTTGGTAAGCTGCCACCACTGGGGTTTGGCTGATGCCTGCAACTGCCCCTCCTAGGCAGAGCTGCTGGCCACCCAGACCTAAGGCATGGATGCTGAGGGCGGGGGTGCTGCACTTGATCTTCTGGCTCCTGGAATGCTTTTCCCACCTCTGGGAACCCTTCGCTCTCATAGTAGCTGGTATATGGGCCCCCAGGTTCTCCAGAGGGGCCTGCCTGCTTTGCTGATGGTTCCTTCCCCCTCAGAGCTGAGCCTGCAGGAGCTGCCCAGTGATCAAGGGGCTGGCAAAAAAGTTACCAGAGTGTGACCTACGGGAAGGGATGGAGGGAGAAAGCACCCAGCGTGGGAAATGGCCATGCTGCATCCCTTCTCCAGTCTCCTCTTCAGGGATTTGGGCATGTGCCTCTAACGGGTTTTACAAGCCATGGAGTATGGAATTGGAACCACACAGCCATGTAGGACCCAGCCCCCTTAACCACCAGGCCCAACTCTGGTTGGCTCAGAATTGGGGATTTCAAACTACAGGTCTCCCACAGCTGGAGGTCAGGGAGGAAAGATAAGACCTGTCTCTCCCACAGCTGGAGGTCAGGGAGGAAAGATAAGACCTGTCTGGCAGGTCAGTCAGCTCCGGACCAGCTCACTCACCCCAGCTCAGTGCAGTGGAAAGGGGTGATCACGTAGGCCCCGCTCTCTGATGAGGAGGTGATCCGGCCTGCCTCTCGGGCCTCACGGACAGGGTCCACCATAGTCCGGGGCATCATGTACAGCTCCTTGGAGTGGTCAAAGTGCCCCTTGACCCGCACAGGTCTGTATTCCAGGTTCTTCAGTTCCATTGGGCTGTGCAGGGGGCATGGAGGGGAGAAGAATAGTGTAGGAACAAAGCAGACATCTACAACAGCCCACCAGGGCCACACAGGGAGGCAAGAGTGGGCCCTCCCGGTGGGCTGGTCCGCACTTGGCCCTTTAAGACCATGTAAGAATGTGGATCTGGGGACCAGCAGTTAGTTTACGTAATGGCTATGTCACTGAACTCCCACGTAGTTGACCACAGTTCAAGTCCTGGACCTGGTGGCTTAGACTCATGCTGGGCATGTGTGTGTGTGTGTGAGCCAAAGATCCAGAGAGGAGAACAGAGGAGAAGGGATTGTGGTGTGGCCATCCCCTGGGGGGTGATTTCTTGCTTTCTGTCTGTCTGGTGAGTGCACACAAACCTCTCCAAAAGAAAAGATAAAGATGGATGTGTGCCGGCAGGCTGTATTTCTTTTTAAGATCTGACCAGAGGGGGGCAGAGAGAGGAAACAAGCCGCCAGGTCCAGGACTTGAGCTAAGGTCAGCCACCCTTAACTACCATGCTACCTGCTGGCCCCCAGACGGGATTTTTAAAGAGATGTTAAAATGTTGACTCATCGGGACATTTTATGCCAAAGAAATAAAAGCCATCTGTCAGCCAGCTACAGACACGGCCGCCCCGAAGGGAAAGCGTGACTGCCTCTGTCTTCCTGGACCGTGCTTTGTGAACAGAGGAAAGGGCAGCAGAATCATGGGGCACTTTCTGCAAATGCCACCCTCATGCTGAGAATCACTGTCTGCCCTCCCCCACAGCTGTAAACTACCTCCCCAAGGGGCTGCCAGGACCATGGGGATCCTCGACTACACAGAACCCGGCAAAGGGCGAGACCCGGACCAGAAAAGGCTGTTCTGTAGTTGAGGGTGGAAGCTTCAGGCAGCTTCACTACGGCAGTCAGGCTGGGCACAAGCCCAGCAGGACGACTGACCTTGAGGCTCGGACAAAAGTTCTCCAAAGGGGCATGAGGGCCAGCAGGAGCCAGGGCTCTGCTGTCCTCAGGTGAGACCTGAGCAGACAGCCACACACTCACTCAGCGGGTAGAGGGATGGGCTCGGCCATAACTCTTGCCTCCAAGTCTGCAATCAGTTTCAACTTCCACTTCCGGCGCTGGACCTGTGGAAACAGCTCAAGCCTGAGTGGACAGCCCAGGGTCAGGGGCTCAGAGCCATCCCAACAGACAGAGTCGTTACCTGCCATGTCCCCAGGCCAAAGGCAGTCACTGGGATGAGAAGCAGCAACCACCGGAGGAAGGAGTCGTTTTCTGTTTTGGTGGCAGGGGCTTCTGCAGCAGAACTGCCCCACCTGCTCAGCCCCCAGGCAGCCCCTGAGGAAGTTTTACAGCACTGACTCGGGTCAGAAGCCTGGAACCAATAAACCAGAGCAGCCAATTTCTCAAGACTCTGCCAATACTGGCGAAGAGAATGTGGTCCAGGAGGGAACAAACCCAAAGCTGCAGTCTGCAGCCAAGCAGCAGCACCCATGTGCAGCACAGCTCCAAACCCAGTACCCGGCATGTGGCACACACGCCGATGTTTGCTGACTGCATGAAGGGGACCTAGAGCTTGGTGCTGGATCAGTCACCAACTGCCCCTGGGCAACTCAGGTAACAGCCTCATAGCCTTTTACTCAAGAACATGCCAACGTGTTACTGAGCTAAGACACAGGGATAGTCATTCCTTCATTCAAAAAGCAGCTTCAGGGGGACAGCAGGTGGTGGTGGTTAAGGCACTGGACTCCTACATGGCTGACCGTGCTGTTCAAGTCTTGGATCCCCAGGGCTTGAAAATCATGCCAGGCACGGGTGTGTCTGTGCCCAAAACCTGGAGAATGGAGGGGAAGGGATTGAGCGTGGCCATCTCCATGGGGAGTGGTGGTGACAGTTTCTCACTTTCCTTCTGTCTCTTTCCAGTGAGAGCACTCGCCCTATGGCAATAACCTTAAAAAAAAAAACAAAAAAAAAAAAAAAGTGGCTCCTGCCCGAGTTGCTGCGCACAAAAAGCCCAGACCAGCGCGCACGGAGAGCTCAGGCTCCCCACTGGGGGTGAGGGCAGGTAGAGGCGGCTGGACACGCTTCGCTTTGGTCGGAGTCCCGGGGTCCACCCTGGGTCGTCCCCCGGTCCACCCTGGGTCGTCCCCCGAGCCCCAACAGTCGGCAGACACGTGAGACGTCACTTAATCTCCGAACTTCCCCGTACCTCGCGAGCTATGGAAGCAGCGGCCCCTCGCCCGGCCCGAGAGCCCAGCACGGCTCATGGGTCCCCGCACCCTTTCCCCACGCGAGATCACCGGGGACGTCAAGGCGGAGGGGCACAGAGCAGGTGCGGTCCCCGCGCGGCCCCGGCCCGAGTCCTCACC